CATTTATTTTAGAGAAAGATTTAATTTTGATGAGAAAGAACAATACAGTATGTATATATATATATATATATACATATACGTAACATTCTTTATATATATAGTCAATTTTTGCTTGTATATACATGTGTATACATATTCTGTATATTATATATATAGTTAATCCAGGAAACCTCACTAATCAGCTTTGTTGTTGGATGACTACTTCAAAATTCTTAACTTCCTCAAACATTGTTGTAGGGCCATACCTGTCAACATTTGGGTACCAAAATACGGGAAAGGGGGGATGGGGTTGGAGTCAAAAGTAAAAAAATTTATATTATATTATATTATATTATATTATATTATATTATTTTTATATTAATTTAAACAATTATTATCAAACAAATATATTCATTTAGTAACATAAATATATCTTAGTATAGGCTATATCCTTAGAGTTTTATAATTCATTATCTTCTTGTCGATCCATCAGTTCACATTTACAACTGCGTGTTTTCTGCGTAAAAATAAGGGTCGTTTTTGGCTTTGGTCTAAACAAAGAGCAGAAGGACTTATTGAAAAATGCAAATTAATTCTCTGCCAGCAGGTGGCGCTTTTTGCCAGGAATATAGCCGTTTCCCCTGTAAACAAAGCAACGCAGCACCTGACTTTGAAACTTGCAGCGTTCATATTTAATCAATTAAATAGCCTTTTAAAGTGTAAGTTATATCTCATTATACATGTAAATTTACATTTAGTTTTTTTCACTGGAGCACCACCTGAGTCTTCTCCTCCCATTTCTACCAGTGATCATTGTTTCCTTCCCGCGGTACTACCTGCGCACATATCAATAGCATCACTGGGCTGTAGGTTGCCAAGTTGAGGGGACAAATGGGTTGAAATTTGTATGCATCGATCGTGTGAGAAAGATGCGTTTCATACAAGATCTGGCAACTGGACAACCTCGGAATTTGTTGTGGTGATTATTCATATAATGAGGTTTGGCCCATACAAATTACGGGAGTTTTACCGTAAGCAAATGTAGCAAACATATAAAATACGCGCAGTTGGATTTTTATTAACTTTTTTTATATAGAAAGATTAAAAATACGGGAAAATATTTAAATGGGATGATAGCGGGATAGATTGGTAAAATATGGGAGAATCCTGGGAAAATTGGGAGGGTTGACATGTATTCGTTTGGTAAGGAACAGCTGTAAATCTTAGATAATGACAAAACAAGTGTGGATTTCAGTCTCATCCATTTTTTATTAAAGGACAAAGCACAGTTCTGACTTGGTGTGCTAAATATATATTTCTTCATTTCTCCCTTACCAATTTGCACACAGATTTCCTATTAAGTGGTAGATTGTTTTCCTTCATATCTATATTGGATGAATATATACCCTGGGATGATGGAATATATTTTGTCCACGCACACACTGCAAAGTTTTGCGAGTAACCTAAATGATTGTTCCATGTGTGTAAGGAGTACAAAAGCACTCCCAAAATTTGTATCCAGTAGTCACAAACGACTGGAATAATCATGGAAATTCTTTGGTCAGTAGCTGTATGGTTTAAATAATGGATTTAGCCTATTTGAGAAGAGAAAGTCCATCTGAATCCAACTAGCTTTGTATATGTACATGTCAGAATTGTGCTGAGTCAAACTAATGTGTTTATGTCTACTCTGTTGCTCAGAGATCCGTAATCAGTTGGTGGAGCAGTTCAAGTGCCTGGAGCAGCAATCAGAGGCTCGGATCCAGCTGTTGCAGGACCTGCAGGAGTTTTTTCGACGCAAAGCTGAGATTCAACTGGAGTATTCTCGCAGTCTGGAGAAACTGGCTGAAAGGTTCTCATCAAAGATTCGCGGCCCGAGGTGAGACTTTATTGATATGTGCAAGTGTGAATAGTTCACCCAAAAAAATGAAAATTCTGCCATTTATTTATTATTTTCCTTGATTTTTTCCCCCTTGGAACACAAAAGTATGGCTTCTATTTTAGCCTGTTTCTCACACAAATATATTGTATGGCTTCAGAATACAGTAAACAATTTCGATGGTCTACTTCTGTGATGTATTTTGGTCCTTGTTTGAGCTTGAAAGCCACTATGAGCTGTATGGTCACTGTGAGCTGTATTAAAAAATAGCTGCATAAAGATTCTACAAAAAATTTCTAATTTGGTGCTTGATGGGAAAAATGACACCAAAAATGACAAATGACATCAAAACGTTAATCAGATCTTGTTTTAAATGTGTGCTGAAATAAATCCCGGAAAAGATCGATACGCGGCTTTTGAGAATCAATATCGAATCGACGTCATTTAAAAAAACGATTAATCGAAAAATCAATTTTTTTGCCCAGCCCTAATAAATACATGATGACAATTTTCATTTTTTGGTGAACTGTTTCTTTAATTGTGCATGCCAGTTTATGTCTCCTCTTCATTTTGCTGTCTGTTTTACCATTTGCTTCGTCTATCAGAGAAGAAATAGCTGCTGGTGAATTTTAAATCTCTCTCCTGCTGCTGGATATAATCGTCCTTCAGACAAGGGTTGCTCCTCATTCCCTACTTTACACAAAGTTTTAAGAAGTTGTTAAATGCCCGTAGCATTTTACGCATTAGGATGTTATCTTTGGCTGTTAATTTAAATTAAATACCCTTTTGAATTAAATGTTCCCTCAAAAGAAAACTTACTTTTCTTCACACCACTCCAGGATTGCCAGTTCATTCCTCCAATTTCTAGACTAATTGACCCTTTGCTAACCCGACCTTAAAAATGTTGCTCTACCTGAGCAACTCTCCTTATCTGACAAACCTGTGCTCTTTCAAATTTAAAGGGATAGTTCATCCAAAAATGAAAATTCTGTCTTATACTCATGCTCATGTTGTTCCTAACCCATAAATCTTCTATGCAGCACAAGAAGATTGCAAAATGTCAGTGAAAGTCAGTGGCGTCCAATGTTGTTTTGGACCCTTGACTTTGGCTATTTGGACAAAAACAGTTGAAACATTGTTCAAAATATCTTCTTTTTTTTTGTTCCACAGTATGATGACAGAATTTTCTATTTTGTGGCAACTATCCTTTAAGTCTATGGAGAATGAACAGCATTTTTTAATTCATATGTTGATTCAGTTGACCGTAATGGCATTAGTAACTAATTTACATTAGAAAACCATAGTGTATATATATGTTGTAAAACCATTTCAGTAATGCAGTACACAGCTACTGTTTTTCCTTGCATGCATGAGATCAGCGGGTGATTATTGGCTCCTGTGGCATCACGCCAACATTGGATTCTGAGTCACCAAAGTAAACCCTTGGTGGGGTTTAATTAATAGCAGCTGGTGGAGGAGGGCTGTCTGCTGCTTGCTCCCAGGGTCAGTCTCACTGCACCATTGATACATTACAGCTGACAACAATGAGGAACGACAATGCCAATGGCTGCTGCTCTCCTGGCCCTGCGTCTGGCCTTGTCATTCTCTGTAGTTGTTTCTGTTTTTGTACTTCACTTTTTTTCTTTTCCTCTTTTCTCTGATATTGTGTCAGCTTTTGGGTTCTAGTTTTGCTGACGCAAGCCTCACAGCAAGCTCAGCTGACTCATGCTAAGAATCAAGCGCACACAAACAATGCATACTGTACGTTGACAACAAACTTTTGTCTTTTCAGTGGTGAGATGGACTTGTGCTCTTTCAGATTAGAATCAGTTTTATGGTCTCTTCACAGACAAAATGCAGTAGTATGCAGGAACAAGGAACGCATTTGATTGCAGGATATTGTTTATAGTTATACAAATGTATATGTGTATAATATAGATACACTTCCGTTTAAAATTTTGGGCCTGGTAATTTTTAAAAGTTTTTTAAAAGTCATATGCTCACCAAGTCTACATTTATTTGAACAAAAATACAGTAAAAATTCTGAAATATTATTACAATTTAAAATAACAGATTTCTATTTTAATATATTTTAAAACATAATTTATTTCTATGATGGAAAAGCTGAATTTTCAGCAGCCATTACTCCAGTCCTCAGTCACGTGATCTTTAAGAAATCTAATATGGTGATTTGGTGCTCAATTAACATATCTTTTTTTATTATCGATGATGAAGACAGTTTTGCTGCTTAATATTTAAGTGGAAACCATGACCCCTTATTTTCAAAGATTATTTGATGAATAAAAAGTTCAAAAGAATTTCAGCATTTATTTGAACTAGAAATCTTTTGTAAGATTATAAATGTCTTTACTGTCAATTTTGATCAATTTAATGCAAACTACATAAGAAAACTACTGTCTGAGATTAACTCAAGCATTCCATTCAGGAGCGCTGTGGAATAAATAATATACTGTATGCAATAATTATGTCTTCCTCTTCTTTGCTTTGACTGCCCACAGCAACCAAATGCAGCAACTGTATATCCTTCACTAAATTTCTTCATTAACTTTATGCATAGACAAGTAAGATTTTACAGGTTTTGCAAGATTAAGAGCTTTGTAAAAATTGACGCGTTTCAGAAAGGCGGGGCATAGAGGAGAAACAATAATGTACAGTATGTGGAAAATAATGTGTTTTTTGAACCTTAAACCGCATAAACACATTTCATTACACCAAATACACAAAATAATGTTCTTTTTAGCAACATCATATGACCCCTTTAAGTTATTTAATCTACAAATACTGTATGTAACACCTATTTGCCTATCTCTTTATTTATAAAGGTAAAAATCCCTGCATAGAAGAACCCTAACTATCTTCAACTTATGTAGTTCTAGACAGACCATGACATGTTTAGAGGAGATAAGAAGGTGTCTACAAAAGTGTCGTTAATGGCCGTTTGTGTGTGTTTGTGTCCGTGTGTTTCAAGTCAATAAATACCTTTTCTTATCTCCACAAAACAGACTTGTCATCCACGCTGGGCTTTACCAGTCAAAACACAAAGTCTGTATGCTTGTGTGTGTTTGCACATGTTTAGCTTTATTTTCACCCTATTTCCTGTTCTTATCTTGCCTCGTTCCCTGGCCTGCATGTGTTGTTATTGCAGTCTCATTTGATGTGTATTGGTGCTGAGACTTGCAACACACAGTACCTGAATACTAATCCAGTCTGCTCTGCAGTTCAGCCCTGTCTCTGTGCATTAAAGCAGCCATAGATTACTTTTAAAGTATACATGAATGAGGGTCAACGCTTCTGCGTATATATTTTGCAGGGTGGCTTGGCTGATGGAAAGTAATTTAAACTGTGAACACTAGGTTGGTTTGCTAGAAATGACAAAAAAAATCATTGCCTACACAGATTTTTAATGCAAAGATGGCAAAGAATTGGAAAGAGATGCATTGAGACCGCCCAACTTGTGATGGTTGCATGCATTCACAAAGCGAATATTTAGATTTTTCATTTTGCTTGGGACAGAACACAATTGACCTAAATAAGGGTGGAAAAGACATTCTTGTGAAAGAAATTTCTGCTATCTTCCATTAATCGAGAAGGTCTATTTCTGCAGATGTTTCAGTGACTGCATTTGCGTGTACATGGGTTTTGCTAGATTAACCAGAAGTTTGTCATGTCAATTTTCTTTTTAAATTTTACTTATTGTTCTTAACTCATTTGTGCTGTTATTATAGTTAACTAAAACAAAAAACATAAAAATCTTTTTGTTACTTGAAATGAAATAAAGTAAACTTGAACTTAACTAAAATAAAAAAAACTTCTATTTTAGCTAGCTGCCAAGACAACATTTCTCATTTTCATTTAGTTTAATTTGATGTACTAAAATAACTAAAATGGAAATAAAAGTGAATAAAAACTATAAAGATTAAAAAAAACTAAATTATATTACTAGAACTTTAATTAAAATTTAAAACCGAAAATATAAAAATAAAAACAAATTTAAATTATTAATAAAAAAACAATTGTAGTATCTCAGTGATATGAAAATAATACAGATGCTATTGCAGTTAGATAAGAAGAATTTAATGAGTTGATTTAAATTACTATTCTCCATTACTAATTAATAACCAGAGAGGATGTCTTCAGTACTTCCTGTAGAGGAACATGAATACATATTGAAGTATTCCAAAGTCATTGAGCATATGCACCGGGATATTAAATTTAAGTGCATGTAAACGTGGTAATTGTTACTTATGGTTAAGTATATTCCCTTGGGTGACAAGCTTATTTAATCAGTGCTAATTTCACTATGGTCAATTTATTAATCTGTACAACATATTAACCCATAAATAATTTATATTAAATATTTTATACATGCTGATCATAGCGATGTGGCATTTATTCACTGAGTATTAATTCATAATCTCATTAATATATAAATCCATACAGATATTGTGTTATAAGTTATGCATGAATTTCATGCACTTGCCTATGGGACAAAGCAGTGCCCACAGTCTGCCAGGACTTTTTTTGACCAGTGCTACAATCATCAAGCGTTGCATGTCAGACCGTCAATGGTACTGTAATGACAATGTACTGTTTGCTACTGATTTGTCTTTAGACTTACATCTATTTATCCATTGATAGCTGCCTTTAAAAAGTAGTGTAAGAAAGTGATGATGGTTTTGGGGTGAGATGCTGCTCTGGTGTAGATGTGGCAGCATGCAGACTACATTTGCTGTAGCCTATTGGACAGAAGCCTGAAATCAAACTGCCCTGCAGTACGTTCCTGCTGCATTCCGCTCCTCGCACGGCAGCACCTGCCTTCCACCTCCGGCCTTCATTCACTCACTGCCAAGCCTCTCAGAGAGCATGCCAAAGCCCTTGGGATCGTGTGTGCTGGGAAAGTGAATCTCTCAGATTTACACATTAAAGGATTAGTTCATCCAAAAATGAAAAATCATTTACTCATACTCATGGCAATCCAA